TACCTTCGTTCTCACAGAGGGCGCGCACGATGCAGAGAAAGAGAGAGAGTGAGAGAGTGAGATCTCGAGGAAAAAGAGAAGTTTCTTCTGCCGTGTTCTTGGTGAAACGAGCCGTCGATACATCTCATATGCGAATACTGTTGCCAGTTTTTCCAGAGGAGGGTTCTGAAAGGCACAGAGGGACCCCCGGTATAAAGTTATTGCCGATTCAGGTATACACGAGACCCGCATTCCCTGGAACTGGCTCTTTTCGATGCGAGCAACTCTCTCAAAGTGCGTGTCGAACAAGAGGTTAAAAGTGTGTTGAAAAAGATAGAATGCAGGTCGAGTTCAGGTAAAGATGCAGCATTTTAATTATGGATAGATTACTCGAAAGTATGAAAAGTTATTCGTTTCTTGTACGCATTGGATGTCGTTTGAACGATGATCGTTATGTATAGTATATTATTTTTGTTTGGTATAAATATTATTTAAGGCAATTATTTTCATTTTTTCTTCTTTATTTAAATGATTACAAATAATTGATCTAATTCTAGTATGTAAATTTCTAAAAATTTAGAAATGGTAATTGCCTAATCTAACCTAACCTCATTTTTTGTTTATAAATAAATATATAAATAAAAATCGATTTTTTGGATGAAAACTCTGTGTACAATATGTATATGGTGATCTGTATTAATTATATGACCTAATATTATCAAATCTAATTTAACTAATTTCATACAAATATATATTCATATATAAACTAGAAGAATATAATAATACAATTTATACAATATACAATATATAATAAAACTGAGAAAAATATAATAATACAAAATGAATATTGGATTTTTTTTTTAATTTTCTCACTAACAAATAATCGAGTTTCAATTTTAATTAAAATTAATAATTATATTAATATCAATCACAACGATATATAATTATTAAATAATTAAATCGCGATTCAAGTGATCTTTCACACAACGAATCACCAGCACCGGCCTATTATGGATTTTACAGATTACACCTTTCGCGAAATAATTCATCGGGTGCATGTTGTTACACTTCATTTTATCCGATAAATTTCGCTCGTGTCCAAAAGTACACACACGATTCGTCACTCGAAAATGATTCAAGCACAATAAGCTAAACGTATTTGGCGTCGTATAAGCCGCGTATCAGTCGTCCTCGAGCACTTGACCGTTATTATCGCGCTTGTTACACAAACGTGATAACGATAATGTCTCGCAACTGCTCGTAATTGGAACAGAATTCACCGTATCGATCGTGCAAATTTCTAAAAATTATTATTTAATTTATTTTTTCACTTTTTAAGTAATATGATTCAAGCACATAACCTCACTTAATTCATTGTAAATTATTTAGAATCATTTAATTCTTTCCAATCCAAATTATAAATATGTATCCATTTAATTATAACCATATAAGAATTATAATCATAATTAATTATAACCATATTATAACCATAATTAAGAATTTTATTTTCAGCAATACTTGGAAATTTAAGATACATGTAGAATAAAACACAAAATCTTTTTTTTATCTTGATCATTCAAGAGATATTTTCCAGTGAAATGAAATCGAAAAAGAAATCGATAACAATTCCTAAAACACCTATGTATCTTCTTGAATAACTGACGCGTTTCGATTTCGATTGTGCGACAGTTCGATGCCCTTGAATGTATTGTCAGAATCAATATTCTGAACAACTTTTCTGAACACTTTATACGTGTTTATGCCGTTCAATTTTAGTTTCTGAAATACAAAAATTTATTCTGTATCACGTATTATACTTATAAAGTTATACAAGAGGTTTTGCTTAGGCTTAGTACGAGTTTAGAAATTAAGATAAATTTTAATCAGGTTAGGTTATAATTATCAATTACTGTTATTATTTCTAATTACAAATCTTCAGAATTCAGAAATCAATATGTTATAATTTTAATTCTCAATATTTTTACGAGAAAAAAAGGAGAAGAATAAATATTCTAGATTTCGAAAATTTCAGATTCGAATTTTAAAAATGATACACAATGTTTCGATTCATCTTCAATTTCTTTTGTGATACATCAAAAATTATATTTTTATCTTCTATTATGAAACATAATACTTGAAATATCGAAATATCCGGGATGAAATTTTGCGAATCCTCGATAATTTCATCAGAATCATCGATACCGTGAAATAGCTCGGTTCCCATGGGATGTTCGTGTTCCTGTAACGACCCGTTATGCGAGACCGAATTGCACATTACAACGACGAATCGAATCAACGTTTAACGGGACAATAAAATCCGATTCATCTCTATTCAAAACTCAGGAACAACTATTTATCAAAAACAACTCACCTTTGAAGATTTGAATAGAAGATCTCGTGCAAATTACTTTTTCTACAGAAAATTACTTTTTATTTAATTAATAGATACATATGATGGACTGATAGAAGAATAAAATAAGAATATTTTTCATTGAGCCAATAATAAAAATAAAATTTATATATAATATTTTCTTATGTTTGAAATATTTCGAAAACAACCTATAGCGTCATTTGTATAATATCACGTAATTAAATGAGCATCGAAGAATTTTTTCTTAGATTACCGAATCGTTAATCATCGGTGAAACGAAAATCATAAACCTTCCTCCCTCTTTCTCCAGCTCGAGTCTTGCAGAGCGTAGATCTCAAATCTCGAAAGTTTTATGCACGTGCTAGCGAGAATAATTCGCAGGCGCGTAGTGCTCGACCATCGAGAGGCCATCGTCGTGAAATTAAACGATAAATCAGTGAATCGTTTTCGCAGGGAAGTGATTAGTGCCGGTGGTAGAATCGCCAAGGGTTCACGGAGAACGAGGGTGCCGAATTCCATCTTTCCTTATATCATCCCTTTAAATACAGAACGTTATTCAAACAATACTGTTACGGATTATTAAATTTGTACAAGGTATTAATATATTCGTAGATACATTTTAGAAAATTGAGTCTAAAGAAACAGAAATAGAAAAGTTTGTAATTTACGAAAATTTCAATTGAAACTTATTTATTAAGTTAGAAAATATAATGGAGATAAAGTCTCATTCTATTTTCGTCTCACTTCATCTAAATATTAGTGTCGTTAGTATCCATCACTACTATTAGGTGGTAATGGAAGTTACGATCGGTAATATCAACTTCTGCCACTAGGCGGCCACAAACGTTACTGCGATTCTCGTTAGCATTATAATCATTGTCAGATATAATTATTGGATCAAGCATGTGACAGTAATCAAATTTTCCTTGTAGAAATCATGCAAAAGCAATGAAAGCATGGTTGATATTTTATGGAAAGTTTTGTTTCATTGTATCTCTTAATTTTTGGTACGGTTGAATGAAAAAATTAAATGTTTTATAATTTTTAAATTAAAAGTGTTATCTATATATAGTATTTTTCTATCTTCTACAAAACATATGTATTGTTCGAAAATCTATAAAAACAAAAAGAGAGCAAAGTTCTTCTGAAATCGTTTCTGTTCTACCATTGTGATTTTTTTCGAAGTGAACACTTGACCAAGCGATGTGGATACAGTCGGAAACCACGAGAAATGTGAAAATAATCTGGATTCTCGCGGATGACAGCTCGTCAGAGAGAAAGAGAGAGAGGGAAACTGAACGAAGTTTAAAGCTTCATTCAGGTTGTTCAGTGAATTCCAAGTTGACCCATTATCCTGTCGCTTCGTTGCGTAAAAGAGCACGTCTGTCGTTGGAATGGTGTCGACGTGATTCAACAGCAGGGACCAAAAATCCGCGAGAATTTTCAAATATTTTGAAAAAATATATATATATATTCGTGTTACACGCTTTTTTAGAATTTTTTATTTAATTTTGAATTTTGTTTTGATGATCTTGTGAAATGAAATCATCTTTCTATCAATATATATAATATTTTTTTTTTCTATGTGTTGAGAAAAAGGCAAGGGACGAAAAATTTTGGAATTTTTGGTATCATTTTTTGATACTCTACCTTTTTCAGATAAACAGTTTTATCTATATTGTATTTTCTTTTCCAAAATTAGAAGAAATTATTATTGTAATTTAAAATAAGATTGTATAAAGATCGTTTAAATAACTTTCTTTCTTTTTATCTCTTAATATAAAATTATATTTAAACAAAAATTGTTTATCTTAACAAAATAAATATTATATTAAGTAATTATATTAAATAATTTAATAAATTATTTAAAAATTAATATAATTTCTAACCAATTTAATAATAACCAACACGTACACGAACGAAACAACATCTCTTTAATGGAGGTTTCACGACATCATTCGCAAAAAGTTTGCAACGCGGCCGATGGCAATAAGGTAGAAGAATAATGGCAATGAAGATGAAGATGAAAAGGAAGAGAAAGAACTTTAGAAGCCTTTTAATTGCGCTCGTAATTAACCAATCTTTCTATAATTGATTACATACTTTTACAAACTAACCAAATTGCAACGAGATGCTAACGAAATTCAAGCTATATAAATTTATAGTCTAAAGAAAGAAAAAAAATACAAAATTGTGTAATCGAATCAACTTGTTTTCTATATATATACATATAGAATAGTATTTAATTAATTGTCGTACTGATTCTGTAACTGGTTCATCTTAGAAATTATCTGTCTATATAAACATCCATGGATATTAAAATTAATAGTTCATATCATTATTAATCGATAAAAAATAATTATCGAAAAGAATTTTGAATTCGAACCAAATTTGGAAAATATTATCGTAATTTTGTATTTAAATATTTTCGACTAATCGCTCGATCGATCGCGACAGGAAGTCACGAGTTCAAATTCTAATTTTACTCCATCGAAATCTTCGATGTCGTTAATGCCCGAAACTTACGAACGAGTTCAACGATCTCGTTTCAACGCGGTAATTAATCGAATGCAATTAATTCTTGCGGGCATTATTTATACAATACGCGAGAAGGATTAAATTAGAAATGGGAAGAAAAGAAACGAAAGACTTTTATTTTTTCTTTATCTCTTCTCCTTCTTTTCTCTCTTTTTCTTTTTGTTCTCTCGTACCTAAAATATACATTTGCCTAAAGTAGAGCTACACAGTCGCTTTTACATTGAAAAATAACTATGCTACATATGTTGCCTACGAGGAAGTATCGCACTTTCGTGCAGTTTCTCTCCATTGTGTCGCGAATAGCTTCAATTGTAATATAACAATGTCGACTTATTCTGGACACGATCTTTTTCACAAAAAAATATTCGTTTCTCTTTTTCTTTCTTGTCTTTCTGTATATCACCATAGATGGTAATCACTCGTTCAACTGTGTTATCTTATCATGATAATATTCCATAATAATTTATACAATAGATAACAATGTTTAGATTTAAAATAGCTAAGAATACAAATGGATTATTAAATTTGACCAATTCTCAATAAAGAATATACTCAATCAAAGAAACTTTAAGCCAAAAAATCAAAAAATTGATAAATGACAAGTTCAATTACCACGCTTTACCGATGATACATTGCTGTTCGAATTCCTCTGATGATAAAGTAGAAATTACGCAAGGAACATGTATTGACAGATGATACAAAAAATTATTTCTTGATCGATCAAAGATAATCTTCGCTTTTAACTCTAACTTTCAGAAATGGGCCAATAAGTCGAATAGACTTCTAATTTTTAGCATGCCAATTATTGAAACCATAAGAAGAAGTTTAGAAGATGGAACAGTAGACTTTTTCATCTCTGTTAAATAGAATAATACATCGTGTACGTCATTTGAAATAAATTTGTTAAATCGTAATGATATTATATGACTGATGTGCATTATTTCTACAATGGATATTCATTTGTTTCTTATTTGCATATTATACCATTGTTATATATCATTCAATGATACAATAAAATCTGATTTTTCCTCTATACTATCATTCATATCAAGAAATACATAAGATTAATAAAATGAAGATATCTATGGCAAAAATAAATATGTTAAAACACAATATATAATATAATGTAAAATTATCAATCTGAAATAAAGTAAAATACCGATTAGCTTATTATTACTCTGTTAAAAATTTGAATATATATAATTGCAATATATCCTAAATCTGCTGTACTATTGATCAAATTCTTTACAGTGAATATATATTTGTTTCTGGCATAAAATTTTAAATAATGGTGATACAATATTCAAAAAGAAATAATTGAATATCCACACTTTGATATGCATTTTACATACAGATTCAAAGTACAATGATCCTCGATGCACTCTGTTCAATAGCTCTGTTCAAACATAAGAAAGACTCGTACTTAATGACTTGTCAAGATCGTATCAAATTAAGTATATAAACATCTTAAACAAAGAATAGAGACACATCATTGAACGTATGTAAACTTAATCTACTAAATCGCCAACTATAATCGATACTCTCTTTCTCTTTCTCTCTCTTGTTATTTGTCGTCTTCGTCATCATCGTCGATAATAAGATTTTATAAAAAATGTGTCAGACCGGCGATGATTCGTCTCGTGGCGACAGGTCTCAAGCGAGACGAGTCGCGACGAAACGAACACGGACCAATCGAAATCATATCAAAAGAAGAATTTGTCAAAAAGACATGAATATTCGAATATCGAGTCCTTCCGTGTAGATTTTCTCCATGCACAGGAAGAAGCACAGCTTCAGATATATCGCACAAGTCTCTAAAACATTTTAATAATTTTCTTTGTGTATATATTTGTATATATGTATATATATATATATATATAGAGAGAGATTTTTATATACTGGATGTTCAGCTAAAGGTGTTTAAAAATTGGAAGAATGATTCTTCAAATTAAAATAAAAATTGAGAAGATTAAAAATAAAAAAAAAAAAATTATATTTTCTACTTTGTTTTGTAATTATTGAGAATTAAAAATCGATGAAAATATTCTTACACAAAAGAATATACAGTAATTGAAGCAACAAATTTCTTATTAAAATTAAAAAAACTTTAAAACACTATAATTCTGAAAATAGTGAATTTCGCCAAGTCAATTGAAGATCGTTAAAAGCACAAAATCTTGCCCTTTAAAACGCAATTTCATTTATTCCGATACAGCTTTTGGTTGCCGAGATATCATCATGTAAAGGAAAGCGTATTTTTTGATCATTCACTATCTCCATCCTTGTCGTACATTCGAAACTCTCGCTTGATTCTCCTCACAGAGATATTCCAATATATCTTAGAAACTCCGTTAAATTCTATTAAAACTAGAAGAATTTTAAACCGCTGTAACTTCGAAAATAATGATTTCCAATGAATAAATAAAAGATCATTAGAAACGCGGAATTTTATTCTTTAAAAAGCATTTTTATTTATCCCGATATGACTTGCGGTATTCGAAATATCATCGTGTAAAGAAAAAGTAATTTTTTAATTGTTTGCTATTTTCTGTCTCTCTCGCTTATTCGTATAACTCTCACTCGCATCTCTTCACTGAACAAGTACGAGACAAAGAGATGCAATTTCTAGATTTATGTACATATTTATCCATAGAAAAATAAAAATATAGATGTCACTAGATCAATAGTAATTTCTACCATCTAAAGCATCATGGATAGTTTGATTTCTTATATCTTGGCAATCAATTGAGATATCGGAATGAAACAAAAAGTAGCTTTAATGGCGAGGTTTTTTTTTATTTTCTGAGTAGATTTTGATGATAAAAATTTTAATTTGTTTTGACGTTTTCCACATGAAAAATTAATGTCTTGTTTGCAATTTTATTTGCAACTGTTATTTTTATATTGTTTTGACTTGTAGAATAATTTTTTCAATTTTTGGATACCTGTAGCTGAATATCCTGTGTATGTATACATATATTACATGTACATGTGCGCAGGATGAGTCGAATATCATATTGTCGAATTACATTTAGGTTATTGAAAAAAAAAAAAACACTGATGATACAAATACATTAATATTTCTAGAATTTATGAAGCTTAAATATTCGTTTAAATTAGTTGTTAAATTGCATAAATCATTATGCTTTAATTTCTTTTTCTTGACATACAATAATTTATCTTTTTCTTAATAAATTCTGCACATAACAAATAAATTTATATAATTATATTATATCATACGTATTAACATTTACTTATTTTCTCAAACAAATCTGTTTATTGCAAATAAAACTATTTGCAATAATAATAAATATATATTGCATCAATTTTACACGTTTATTATTCAATGTTTTATGGAATATTTATTCCATCATCCTGTACACGTGTCCATAATATATATAAACATATGTGTATTCTCTAAATTCAATAACGAATGTACGTACATGTATATATTTATATAGTATATTTATATGTATATGTATATATCAGAACTTTGGTTTTGTCTTCGGTTAACCAGTCGAATCAAAAATACTCGAAAGATATTTGATCAAGTAATAATATTCTTTAAAGATAAACTCTAATCACTAAGGTTGGGTCATCTTATTTGACCACCATATCTTTCTTGCAATTTCAATAAAATAATGAACAGTCCTTTAGATCAGTATTTTCCAATGTTTTTAAAATCACAACCCTTTTCTTTTTTATAATTATATAAAATAAAATACATTTATTTTAGGATAAAATAATTATAATACTTTTTTTTAACGATGAATATCAATAAGTGAAAATATTAATGAAATATTAATCTCTGCCATAGCAAATATCCCTGCAATATTTAATATTTGTACATGATGAATTTTTTCATATAGATATATCGAGATAAATAATAAAAAAATGAATTATTATGAAAATTGAAAATTCTCATAATAAAATTTGTTGTATAAATAATCGCAAATAAAAATTAGAGATTTTTCGATATCTTTAGGGATTGTGATCTATAGATTGGAAAATATTGTTTTTTAATCTCGATTATTCCGTTGCGCCCAACCCTGTATACAAATCGTAAATCGTAAATCTTCCCGAAAAGGAAGCTCAGATTTGTGCTGAAGAAGGAAAAACGTCATTTCGTTATTACACTTATTCGATAGAAAGTTGTAACAGTCGTTAAGATGCATAAAGATGTATTAAAAACGTGTTAAAAAAGTTTTCGCGTCGATAGTAGTAGTATTTTAACTTATCTCTTGAGGACTCATCTGTCTGTATTATCGACCGTGCATATAATTACATGTTTTATCGGCTAAGACAAGTTATATTTCTTCCTTGTAAAATAGAAATGGACAAGTTTAAATACAGGCAAACTCTGGTTTTCAGTTTCAATTCACAATAATATGAACATCTGTGATCGCAAATGCGATTTTTAAATTTTTTCTTTCTTTTAATCGAACTGATTCTATCGTGCACGGTTTCACGGTGGATAATAGAAAATGGTTATAATATAGGAAACTTCGACTTAATCTATCATAGAAAAAAGAAAGTTCGATCGGTATATTGCTTGTTACTTTGTGGCGCAACGGAATCACTATTGAATACGTGATAAATTTTTTAATTTCTTCAACTATCAACAGCAGTTTTATAAGTAAATACGAAGAGTTACATTTACGTTCAGAGGTTGTTCTACGTATTATTATTACGTAGTTTTATGATAGTGATTTCCCCGATTGGAATATTGTAATATAATTATACATTAACTCTTCCATTAGTGATAATTACTAATTATTTGTGCGAGCCTTTATCATGGCATACGATGTGAACCAGCCTCAGGTTCTTCACCGTAAATAGATTGTCGTAGATTTCGAACAGATCCATCTCGTTGGCTGTACCTTGTGTCGCCAATTTCAGAAGCAGCGGGATTAATGTCCTGGACCTCTCAATCCTAAAAATCATATACGATGAATATTATAACGGATAATCCAAAAATAAATATTTTAAATTTCAATTCGATATTTATAATTGATTCTAAGAATACTAAATAAATGCAATTATATCTTCGTCGTGAAATTTCTATCATACCATCTGTCGATAAATCAGAAATGTGTTGTCCAATGCTTTTTCATTTTTCGAGAAATATTGAAATATTTTCAAAGGATAGATAATTTAAAAGATTCAAAATAAATCTAACGATAACTTTATAACGTCAAAAAGATTGATAAATATAATATCAATTCTAATAATATCAATTATAAACTATAACGCTATTAATTACTTATGATCAAAATTCCACGTAGAGAACAAAATAAGCTCCTCCCTCGACCTATAAGGATTGATCTTGTGCCTGTCCCCGTAAAGGCACTTCTCCTCGTTCCACACGCCGTAACACTTAAACTCGCCCATCTGGTCGCACAAAGCTACACACGTGTCCCCCTCTGTCCTCCTGATCTTGTAAGGGCAAGTCTCCTCCGCCTCCTCCTCTTCGCTCTTCGCGCCAGAATTCCTTTCGTTCCTCCTCCTCACAGCGTCAACATCGTCGCAAGGTTGCCCGATCGTGCCGAACAACCGGAAATACGTGCTCTCGTCCAGCCATTTCAGCCTGCACGGGCAATGATCGTAACAGCTCGTCGATGAGTCGCGCTCATCCCTACCCTCCAACGATCCTATCTTCGCTCGACTCCTGTCGAAGTAGTAGCCAAAGTAATGATCCTCCTTCAATTGCATCTTGAAGAACGCTATCGCGTACAGTAGCTGCTTCCTGGCTCGTGGATCTTTCGAGAACACGTCGGACGATTTGATCTGATCGATCGTTTTGTACAGGTAGCCACGTATCCTGTCCTGACATCTACGGTGCAAATACGCCTCCTGTGCAAATTGTAATTACGTCACTTGGTTACATCGATTCAACGCGGAATCATGGATATGGAAATTTCTCTCTCTTGATTTTTAATTATTAATTGTACGATTGACAAATAACTGTAGTTTAATATAGGATTGCTTTTATTTATATGCTTAATTTTTAAAACAACGAATTCCTCAAAGTCGAGGTTGAAGGTGATGAATGGCGAGTGGAAATGGGTCGGTGTATATATTAAGTGTATTCACAGTGTTGCGGATATAATTGGCCCGCGATCAAAGCTATTGTTTTCGATGAATCGCTATTCGAATTGTGACGCACAATAGAAGTCATTCGTTCAAGTCCACCGATGATTTAACTTGAACCGACTCTACCTTAACAATACTTCTTTGTAAGAGTAGTAAGAATAGTGGAATATTTATAACGAATCAAAAGATATAATATGCAAGAATATATATGAAAATTGAAGAAACATAAATTGAAGTTTTCATAAGTTAATTTTATTTAATAATCAATTGTTAAAATGAATAATGGAGGGGGCTATAAATAATAAGATCTTAAATACGTCGATATAATGTATGCAAGGTCAATCGATGGAAGAGTGGAAGAAGAAAAGGGGAAAGGGCGAAGGTCGTTGTTGGAGGAGAGAAGAAAAGGACCCTTGTGTTCTATCTATGAAATCCGTGCTGCCAAGAGAGATATTCGATCCTGACAGCGTAGATATACCGAGAGGATCGAAGATTGGATATATAGGATTCAGGGAGGAATTGCCACGTCAGAGACTATGGATCGCCATAAATTTATTATATTTTCAGAGACCTATCTCATTCGACTTTATTTCGAAAAAGAAACGGAGAAATATATTCACGTTGATCAGATTGATAAAATTTTTTTCGAGCTTGGAATTTCTATTTTTTTGAAATTAATATCTCACAAATATATATTTTAAATTAAAGATTAAGAAATTTCGAAACTTTTAGAAATTATCTTTTTCCTTTTTTTCTTTTTTTAATCCAATATCTATCCAACTTCTGTGCAAACTTTGCAAATTATAATAATTTATAATCGATAATTACGAGGAATAAGGCTAACGATTTTAAGATTTCGAGAGGAGAGCTCCACATCCGATAAACGACAATTTACTGGAATGGAGGCGGTGTAACGTTAATTAACTCGAGCGATATCGAACGTCGAAGGATGGCTTTGATTCTGTTGCATTAACTTGCGCCGACCTAGACCGACTTTATTGCACGTTCCAGAAATTTATAACTTATCTTCGAGCAGCGTTATAAATGGGGAAAGTTTCCCACGAAGGGCGTTATTTGTATTATTCTTATTGATTTTTTCCCCCCCTCTCTTTTTATTCTCAGGTTTATTTAACAATAGGGAAGTTAATTTTAATTAACTTCTTTAATTCTCTCGAAGAAATTTAAATTACAATTGATATTTTTATATTTTAATTTGATTTAATAATCAATTGGACGTTGTTAAAAATGAATAATGAAGGGGAGGAGGGGGGGTCTATGAGATTTCGCAGAATTCTTTTTACTGCGAAATGGTATTGTATTTATTTATGATTAAAACACAATGATTCTATTTTTTATATAAAATAGTAAAAAACTTTTATCTACTATTCAAATTGATTTTTCAAAATTCCGAAATTAAAAGTTTCGATTTGTCAAAATCTATTCAAATTATATTCTCAATTTTACAATATTTCAACACTACTCGTTTAATTTCACGAGCAAATCTCTCTTTCTCATGTAAATTCTCTTTGCCAATATTCGTGGCGACGAGGAACACGTATTTAAAAAAAAAGGAAAAGGAAGAGGACTCACCTTAGTCGCGCAGTTGGTCTCCAATCCCTGGAACCAGTCCGGGTGCTCGTCCCTGCTGCTGAACGCCGTTTTCGAGTCGTCCTTGTTCAAAGCGTTGTTTAGAACTGCAACCTTTGCTTTAAGGTTCTCCGCGAGGAATTCGGACGCTTTCTCGCCGGCGATCAGAAAATCGATGTTGACACGCCTCAACGTGTCGTACAGGAGATCCGCATCTGTAACCAAAAAAGGCTCCTTATATCGGCCATCGAACAAGTAAAGAGAAAATAATTGGGAAATAATTCGATAGAGTTTGAGAATACGCGAAAATTATCCTTAAAAATTATTAAAAATTTGAAAATCTTTTTTTTTTTAAACACTTTCTATACGCGTATATAATATTTTTAAAAAATTATTCGAGTTAAATCGCTAACCGGACAACACTTTCTCGCCAGGTTTCTGCAGGATCAGCGTCGTCTGAGGTTTCAACGTGGAAAAATATTCCTCCTCGTCGATCAATGAACCATCGAGGAGATAGATGTTGATCTCGGCTGGGTCGTTTGTCACCTGGAAAGGAAAGGAGGGATTATTACGATTCGCAGATTCATCCTGTCAAATGATGTCTCGTTTATATTTTACAATTACAAATTCGAAAATAAAAAAAAAAAAATTTCCTTCTCTCGATCCAATTAATCAACGTCACCATGTTCGATTCATTCACGTAAAAATAATTATTTTTACAAATATTTTTAATAGTCTCTTCTCTTAAACGATTAAATTCAAAATCTTTCATCTTTCATCGATAAAAAAGAACGAATACATTCTAACCTATCATAAACGATATTTCTATATTCGAACTATCATAATCACGATCGACCATTTCTAATCTTGCACCAGTTATGCAACGAAGAATCGTCCAAAATCTTATCGTGGCGAGCAGAGAGGAAAAAAGAGGGAGGGAGGGGGAGGGGATGGACGAAAAGAGGTTTTCACCCGGTAAAAGAACTGGGCCAGGTCTCTCGGTTACCGATCGAGCAGCGACCTTGACATTGGGGCTGCTCCTTGCCCGTGGCCCGGATGGTTCGATACAGCTACACGCTGCAGGCGAGTGCGATTCGGTCGCTCCAAGGTCGAGCGGATTGGAATCGACACGTGCCATGTAAACTTTAAACCGCCCAATCTCCATGCTTAATTGCTCGTCTTGTCCCTTGGAATTTTTTTTTTTTTTTTTTAAGAAGAAGGAGGAGAATTGGGTCGGATAATGGTAACGTGACCGGTTGAAATTGTACGTAGTATATAATATATAGGGTGTATGTGAATTTATGCACGAATGTTGAAGTTAAATGTTGAAATTTTGTTTTCGAGTAAATTTTAATATTTTTCCAGTGAAATTGGCTAATTTCACATGAAATTGGCTAATTTTCAGGAATGAAGAATAAAGAAGAAGATAAAAAAAAAAAAAAAAGAAATTGGTCAATTTCCAAAGGTAAAAAAAAGGAAGAAAAAGAAATTGGCAAGTTTTCAATAATAGGAATAGACATTTTTTTTTTTTCGAATGAATCAAGTTTGAATATTTTTCGAATGCAGCAAATGAAATTGTAGTAGAATAAAATTTTATCGTTTGATTCCTTGTTTTCGAGTAAAAATCGAGATTCAATCTTGTATTTACCTTTTCGTTCATTTTCATACGTGGAATAATCTGTATTATCAGTAATTCAGTGAAATCCAATCGTATCGATAAATTTCACTTGTAAAATTGAAAAGGAAACCAGAAACGAAAAATCTTCCAACAAGTCCAATAATTTCGTATTAACTAGCTTACAAATAGATATAGAAAGTCAAAAGTTTAAAATTCTAAATATTCTAAAACAAAAATTGATAGACAAAAATTTCAATTAATTTATTATAAATATTTTTGTTATATACAAACTTTTATATTTCGAACTTTAGAATTAAAGCTATCCATCTGCAAAGGCAGTCAAAATCAAATTGATATTCTCTTCACCTTTGCAAAAATAAAAAAAAATAAATAAATTTCGAAAACAACGATGAAACAATGATTTCATGAAATTCAAGATATTGACCTCGTAAATCGATCGAGTCTTGCAAAAAAAAAAAAAAAAAAAAAAACGAATTCCTCCTCGAAACACAACAGTCGATAAATCCGTGCAACGAATTTCTTCGAGCAAAATGGCTCGAGAAATATATGTGTCTATTACTTGGAGCTTGCTGCTTGGCCTGTTTCAGATATACATCTGTAACGAAATATACTGGAAAATGGAACGTGGTGTGGGCGTTACAATTTTCCAGGAGCGGGGTATGGATCAGCTGCGAGGCTTTTATGACCCAATTTCAGCCAACAACTTTTATCATGACATGTAAAAGAGGCGTGGGGATCACGGTTTCCATGCAACGCGAACCACTTGGAACCACGTTCCTCTTTGTCTCTCCCTTTTTAATCGACGTCACGCCTGTTTATCCGTCCCGCTCTTTCTCTTTGATCGAAAGGATGTATACCGGGTGTCAAAGAAGAAAGGACTCCAACGCTTGGAAACAGAGTGTGATGTAAAAGTAGCGTCGTGAAAAATGATAATATCGGTATTTTATCGATAGTTCATTCGTATCCAATCGAAAATTAGTTAATTTTAATGATCGATCGTATTATTTATTTCGATATCACGAAATATTAATTAGTTATTCAAATGCATGCAAGATTATTCCATTCTTGTTACGATATATGAATCGTGTGAGATTACGCGCATCTTTAAATATCGATAATTTATTTATTACATTTTGGTTACACGAAGCAATTTTTGTGCCAATATTAAATAATAAAATCGAAATATGTTGACAATCTTGAAGCTAAAAGATTTTTCGTATCAAAAGACTCGAGTTATTATTGATCGGATTGATTTTTTCATTCGTTTTAATATAATAAAAATTTTCTTGGATCTTTTTTTTTTAACACCCTATATATCGATCGATTAAATAAACGCTGGAAGCGTTAATCATTTTACTATACTCACGTTCAGTTTCGCGCAAGCTTTACGCTTCAACTCCTGAAGGCTTCTGCAGGCGACGCCGACTTTTCGTATGCGGTTCACATCGGTGACCTTGTAGCCCTTCAGCTGGAAAACACCCGATAAAACGTAATGAAAGAATCTTTTTTTACCGTCGTGGTATATATAGAATTTTTTTACCTTGTAGTATGATGGAAAAAAAAAGAATGTGACGACGAATGTTCAAATTCAATGTTCCAATGTAGTGAAAGAATTTATTTAATTCAATAATTGTATAATTTATTCGAACACTTCGATCGTTGAGGTGATTAAATTTTGCTATCTGCCAATAACGTCAATTGTCACGTGTCTTTCGAAAAATTTTTAAAATTTATCTATTGTATAACTTTATTATGCAAAACGATTTTAATCCATAAATGCAAATTATTGTTCTATTTTTGTTTTAACTTTAATTAAACTTTCCAATTATTTTACATTGGTTTTTATTTTTTCGTAATAATTATTGGTATTTCTTTTTTCGAAATAAAATTTGTAGCTTATTATTTTCTTGTTCAATCTGAATTCTCAAGTAAACTTGTTTAATGAATATGAATAAATGGCGATTTTGTGTTATGTGACACAAGTACATATGCTCAGCATGCAAAGAACAAAAATTACTGTTTGAATTAATTCTGCGCGCCAAAGCCCTTCGTTATCCCAATAGAATACGCTTTCAAATTTGTATAAAAGTTTTTTTCAAACATTTAATTGTATAACCTGGATATAAATATTTGAAAGCACTCACGAATTTCAAAATTTATCGTTATCTGAAAGTCTCTCTAGTATGTCATTACCAAATTAAAATTTTAATGTAAATTAACAAATATTTATTATATTTCTCTGATTTCTCTGATTTCTAATTTATAACAAAGAAATTAAATTAACATTCAACTTTTCTTGCCAATAATGATTTTAAACCAATGAAATCAATTTCTCGATTCCACGCGTTGCCAAATGTTAAACACGACCAATTAAACTCAGAAAATTTTAATTAAACGTTTTCTCGAAACTTTCAAAAATTCAAATTTCTTTTTTTTTAACTTTAATTCCCACTTCATCAATCGATGGTGATGAATTTGCTCTTCGTCACCCAAAGATCGCGAAAGAGAAGTTAATTTCACCGTTTCATTCGAACAGAGAGAGAGATCCAGTCACGAATTCGGGTTAATCATCTAGGAAGGATAAAGTGAATTGGAAACTGGATAAGGGAGAACCCAGTGGATCCAGGATTGTAATCAGCGGACGCACAATTGGGCCGGTAGCTGGTTCAAGGCCACGGAAGCGGAAGGCCGCGTGTCACAGTTTCTTCCAGTGACCCACATTTGGCGACGTTTAATCGCGGTCACTCGATAACGCAAACAGAGGATCGAAAGTCGTCGGTCAGCTGCATGGAATAAATACTTTTCGCATCATTTAAACGTCGAACAATTACTATTTCTTGAAAAAATCGTTATATTTGTTCGTTATCTAATGAAAATATTCGTAATTTGTCGATACACGTGAATTTTTAATGCAAATTAACTGTTAAAATGAAAATGAGAATTGAATTGTATCTTTATAATATCATTTTATTTGATACAAAATAAAATTAAAATTAAATAATGTGGAAAATTTTGATTATTGACATAAAAGTCAAACAAATGTGTTAAATAAATCTTTTTTTTTTTAATCATTATATTTATTTTATTATATCGATAATAAAATAATAAAATATGTTCCTTTGATATTAAAAGGTAAAATTACAAAAATGTGGCATGCGTTTATTTTATATATGGATATCTTAATTCTTTGACAAGATAGATCAATATCTTGATATATTGAATTGAATATATTAAAGTTTGATGATAAGATACATGTGTTAAATAACAAAGATAATCTTAAATAAGCGAAAACATCAATAATAATTATTATTATTGATTAAGAAACATACAAGTAGTAGATACACTTTTTCACATGTCAATTTAAAAACAAAAAAACAAAAGAAAATAGAAATTATTATTCTCATTATTATTGACCAATATTCAAACTAGCGACTTGTAATTATAATTATTATATACTTCATTTTACAAATAAAATAGATCTTCTCGTTAAAATGTAATATTAATTTCATCAAAAATATCAATAAAAATTATTCATAATTCACAATTTTTTACGAATCTAATAATTCCAGTATAAACAAGTAATAATACATATTCTTCGCACACTTTATCACTTTAAAAAAAATAGCAAGAAAATATAGAAAGAGAATAAAAAAGGAAATTAAACGACACGATTATAGTGTAGATAGTGCTCGCACTAACATTGCGTAAAGCTATTTCTCTTTATTTCAATAAAAAAATAAGAAAAAAAACAAGCGATTAATTCCTACATTCCTAATTATTCGAACGCGGATAAAACAAAAAAAGTGAGTACAGAGGCCGCTCGCGTGGCCGGCGAACGAAGCTCGTGCACACTTGGCCCGGGATTTCCGAACGATTCTTTGTTTACCTCATTCTTGGACGGTGCTTCGGTGAGCCGTCGAAAACAATTGGAAATCAGCGACATACTCCGTGTTTCCGGGTCGTCAAAATCCCCAAAGAAAGTAGATCAAAAGCCGAGATGAAAATGCTGACGACACTATTTGTTGGAACAGCAGCTGGCGGTGCACTTCGTATCCCTCTTCTTTCTTCTTCGACCGTGACAGTGGAGCGGCTTATCGGTCAGCGGACGGAAGGGGAATCATCACGAGCAGTGGCAAGAGCTGTTGGAGTGGGGAGTAGAGTAGGTATAGCGGTCAGCGTGTAACGTTACAACGAGTGCGAGTGGGAGTAAGGAAGAAAGGACAAAGAGAGGAAACTAATGAAACGCGCGTGTCGACGTTTAAACCCAATAAAATTTGTGGAATTATGAGCCACGCTCGCGAGATTTGTAATGGTCGATGCGCGCACGTTTTTATTTTACATTTGCCGCAGAAGCAACGATGAAAAGGGGAGAATGGATGTGTGTATGTGTGTGTATATGTGTGTATGTGTGCGTGGAGAGAAGAAAGAACGATGTCTACAGCCGATGGATCGTGGGGAAGGAATGACGTGACGGCTCGAACCAGGACTGAAGTGAGAGAATGCACCGGGAAATGCGCCTGCGAACTGCCAGCCAACCTTGCAACGATCTCTCCGCATAGATGTCGCCACTGTGCGGAATTACAGCTGTCCATTGTTGGCCACGTTTCAAAGGATTGGAAATAGTTTATGGAATAGTTGAAATGGAGATTTGTTGTGGTGGTGGAAATACATACAGAACTGACTAGATATTACCACCTTGATTTTCGCCACCGAATATTGTCATTGTTGTAATAAAAAATGTTTCAAATGGAGTTGAATGGTTTCAAGGAAGACACGTAGTTTTTTTTAAAGTAAGTGGATGCGTAGAAGATACGTTGATATTATTTATAAAGAAAAAAAAAGTATTATTACTTAATTTATTTTAATAGATATTTTAACTCGAAGTTTTGAAAAGTTTACGATACGGAAGACGAGGAGAACATGAATAGTAGAGTATTGCTTCGCGTGTTCCTTGTAACGAGATGGTAATATGATGAAAAAGAGCAAATTCTTGGTGAACTACCCTGTATAGTTTATCTTATGGCAAGTATTCATGTATTATTTAAATAATTATTTAGAATATTAATAAATGTATACTTATAAATATTAACTTAAAAATGATGAAACGTAGAATATGATAAAAAGACGCTTGATAGAAAAATAAGGATATATGCAAATAATCACATTAAATAAAAAAAAAAAAAAAAATAAAATAAAAAAGAGAAAACAAAATTTATTGAAAAAAATAATATATAGTTTTCATTTAATGAAAAATGAATAAAACAATAGAGATGTAAACACGATTTTTGATGAACAGAGAAATATTATTCGAATATTTCATTACACGTGTAACAAGGAAAATATTCATTTGAAGTTTATATTAAAAAATACACAATTGAAATATTTAATTACTTATGTTCTATAAGATCGAATAAATATTTAAAAAACAATATTTTGCTCGAGATATAGAACAAATTATTATTTTAAATTAATTTTTTTCTCACATAATTCAAAAGATATTTTTATGACAATATTTTTCTCTCTTATTTCAAATACTATTTCAAATACTATTGCTCAGAACTGCCTCTATCTTATCATCTCTTTCGGACAATGACAGAACAGTCTGCACTCGAGCAATCTCTGTTCTCTCCAACTCTCCTTTCTTCTCATTTTTGAACAATGCCAATGATCAACCGAATCATTAGCCTTTATCTCATATCGTGATAGCTTATACTTTTCAATTTTCTATATGATGCTTTGCTTTGTTCCACTCGTGTCCATATAGAAAAAACTTTATCCAATCTATGATAAAATTATATTTTCTTTTTCCTTTACATATAAAATGAATATGAAATTACTATTGAAAGGTAACTTTAAAAATAAAAAAAAAAAAAAAAAAAAATGGAGAAAAAGAGAATGGAAATATAATCCATTTAAAATTAATCATTGTAAGAAATAAATGATAATTGGAAAAAATTCACGATAATCTTCATTAGTAATAGCATTTTTAATTTATATTTTCATAACCTTTGAATTTTACCAATGTTGGTAAATAAAGTTTTTCTAAAGTTTTGCAAATTATGTCTTACGGTTTTATTGCTTCCTAAAGTCATTTTTTATTGTCGCTCGTAAAATTATCGTTTACTTTGTAAAACGGGACTTTATATGATACTCTTTTCTATTAACTGACTGTAAACACTACATAAACTTCCCTTTCAGAATCTGAACTTGTTAACGAGCCAACAACACATATTAAAAATGAACGAAACGAAATGAGAAACGTAATACGTTTCTGCAAAAAGATTTAAATAAAGAAGATATATTTATTGTTCATTTTTATTCCACCATACTTGTTAAAAGTATATTATAGTATATTACGAGCCGTTTGATTCGCTCTTCTCTTCAATGGAGAAAAAAAAAAAAAAAATTCCAAAATTTTTGCAAATTGAGTTGAAAATCATACTTATATTAATATAAAATCATACTTTTTCCTTTCTTCGAAAAATTATTCCCCATAAATTCAACGAATCTAGTTGCAATTTTTTAATATTCTTTTCATGTTATTAGATTCGTCAATAGTTTCGTGAAAATGACATAAATTCTTAGTTCATCATTTGTATAAAGGATCTACACTTAGTCGATAAGTGAAAAAGTAAATTATTTTCATATAATGTCAAATATTAGATAATTCAATTCACCTATTAATCTAAATGAATAACACTTATCTGTGAATGAAAATAAAAATTTTTTATTCTGTAAAAATATTCGAGATAACTATATGAAATAAAAATCTGGACCGATATAAATTTCCATCACGTAAAATTTTCGAATACGTACGTATTTGTAAAATTAGAAAGTTTTTGTGTCGTTCATCCGAAGAAACTCTGCATTAATATATAAGGCGTTAATATATTCATGACACATCTTTGGACAGTCAATTTGAAAAGCCAAAAAAGAAAAGATGCATAAAAATTTATCAAGTTGAGAAAGGATCACCTCTCTCTATCTCGCTTCATCCAAAGCAAACTTCAACCCCTTATTAATTTAATAAATAAAAATCTGAATCGAAATTTTTGTATATACCAATTTTCACTAACTCTAGAAAATTTTCCACGTATTTCTAAACATTATTTTACATACATTCACTTCCAAAAAATAAAATTCATATAAAATATATCATATAAAAGCACGTATATATTCATTGTGCTCTTATTTATTTATTAAAAAAAAAAAAAAAGATTAAATCGAGTACTCGATCCTTCTCCATAGACCAAAAAATTACACCAGGCCCCTTAGAATTTCAATTGAGACCCCTCCTCCTCCCCTTACCAAAATCCAAATTAATAAAAATTACACCAGTGCCATAATAATATTTTTGGAAGTGACTGTATACACGTAAAATTGTACGAAAATTATTACTCAATAGAAACTATACATAACTATACATAATGAAATATCTTTCGCGCGCATCTTAAGATACGAAATAGTGGTAAGGCTGACATTTTATTCATGCTCGATTACTTTTCTTTATAACGATATATACACATATATTTTATATATATATATATATATATATATATATATATATATATTCAAAACATGGAATTTCNAATTTCAGCTATTCGCAAAACGCGTATTATTTACTTTTCTCGGGGTAGAAATTTATTTATCCCCCCTCCACTTTGGACGCGAATAAAAATCCGCAACGTGCACGTGTCGCGCTGATCGCCGCGAATGAAATTAGGTCGAGTAATTACAATGGTTCTACGCGACGGTGGAAAATTTTCGATCGAGCAATTTAACATGAAGCGCGCTTCAGATAGTTGCAAAGTGCATCAAAAGGGATCGCGTTGTTTCGCGTTACATCGACGTTAACCTTGTTTTTTGTTTTTTTTTTTTTTTTTTTTGAAGGTCACGACAGCTATTCTCGAAGCTCTCGTGTCGCGAACGTTCTATGCGGGACGCGCAATGCGCCGATTCGTGCAGAAAAATTACGCGATACACAGAACGTTTGGTTTCGATTTCAGATCGCGTCAAGGTCTATCTCTCGAAGAATTTCTTTTTTTATATCGAAGGGCATCGATTTATTTTAGTTCGCGTTATGGTATCGCGGTTAGAAGTTAGGTTAGGTCACGATTATCGTCAACTGGATTATCGTGGGCAATATTCGAGACGAAACTATTCGCGTAAAAATACACGATATTCTTGATGTTGTTGAGGTTAGGTTTGCCCATGGATCGATTCGATGGTGTAATAAAGAATGGGGATGAAATTTAATAAAACTTAACAATTGTAGTTGTGTAATACGACAATATAGAGGGATAATTCAGAAATTCTATTTTCGAAATGAAATTTCGTTATCCTTCTACAAGGTATACAGAATTATTACATATCTAGGTTAATCGTTTTAGATACGATTAATTTATTATATTATATACATTGATTAAAATAACTGTTTGAAATAATTGCTTGATTTTATACATGTTTAGTCGTATTTATCTTCCAATATTGAAAATTGATAAATATTTCTTCTTTATTATACGTGCAATGAAATATTTGAATATTTTTTTTCTCGTGCAACTTGTGATCCAATATTCATGTTTATGTATAATGTAGTCAACGAGAGGTTAACATTCGAATTAATCACTAAAAAATACGAGAAGATTTATTTATTCATCTTCCTCATCAACTCTTTTAATCCTCACGTCGAATGCGTTGAAATTTATTTATCGCGAATTATTCTAATCATAGATGCAATTATAATGCGTTATCTAAAAAAAAAAGAATGTTTTTTTTTCCTTTTCTAAATTTACATTCATTGTTAATACTTATCTATTTTATTTAAAACTACGTTATATAATGTGTATAATTTTAAATTCAAATCCAATTCCGTCATGCGTTTCAACAATAAAGTAAAATATTTTTATTTCTGATCTGTGAAAATTTTTGCGAGCGATTTAAATTCAAATTCCGCTTTATGATTTGACTGGGTCATACACGTGATTTTTGTGCAAAGTCAAATGGATATGATTAAAAAAAATAAAAATTTGCTTAATTCCTCGATTATAATAATCTGCATATGCCGTGCACATTTTTTGTTTGCATATCATTCTAATTTTTAATTTTTGTCATTCAAATATTTATGCATCTTATTATTATTTTTTTCTTTTGTATTTGCATTTAACTTCGCAATAAAAGAAGCGTACAATAAAATAGAGAAGAGAATGTATATAACTCTTTTCTTTAACTCGAAATATCAAATTAGAATTGTTTATCTTCTCTAAATTATCCGTGACGAAAATTTTTAAAAGATATATACATATATATATATATATATATACAAAATTTCACCAAATTTCACAAATGAACCAAAAAATCGTGAAAACGTAAATATTGTGCAACTTGTAAAAAATTTGTAAATTTTAATTTCAATTTATTCTTTATTCATTTTTCGATTTCGA